TAAAGTTTACGTATTTCAGATTCAGCTTGAGGTATGCGTGGTTCTTACGTACGGGCACTTAAAATTCTTGGCGAAAAAATTTCTTACTGAACAACTAGGTTACTTTTAAAGAGCGGCTGTTAAATGGAAATTATACATTACTTTGCAAAATTTATGGTGATTTATGCTAGTGACCGCAGCAGGTAGGTGTAAAGCAGAGCCATTCATGCAGTTAATGACCTGAGTACTTCAAATCCAGTGCAAAAACGCATGATCGCACGGGCCCGCCCGGTGCGTTCCAGCCTGGGTTAATTATGCTTAATAAAGTGTAATAAAAGGAGGGTAGCAATGACCTGCCATGAGGAACAAACTGAAGTATGGTATGTTTGGAAACCTTGTGCCTTTCTGCATGAAAATGTGAGAGAGTGCTGCGCGTTTTCCCATTTTCTTGCAGTGCAGGACGCGTGATTTTAAAATATTTGCATAGAACGCAAGAAAACACTGGTATGCAGTCTATAAAATGTGCATTCCAGCTAAGTTAATATTTTTTATATATGACATCTATTAGTGTAGGCGGTTTGCGCGAGAAGCTGCCTGTAAAATTTGCCAAAGTAAGCACAACTTGGCAGCCGACGGCACATCAGGGCCTTTTTAAAAAGCGTGCAGGGCGAATGAAAATTTTCGTGAGAAGGAGGGACTGTCATCAAGTTGTTTTGCGATTTTATTAAAATAGTGCAACTGATCGATAGGGTGCCTCATCGTGTCTAGGAGTGATAACTTTCTAAGCGATGTGATTGAGCTCAACTTACTGCGGGTATATTTCGAACGTGTAAAGCTTTGCCACTTGCTTCTCATCAGCTGATTCGCAAATTCGATTTAAGCTATAATTTTCGCTGTTGCTTCAGTACTGTTGTCGTTAGAGAAGTTGTCAGCTGCAGGGGCCGAGATTCGAGCTATGCGGTACTGCAGTGTTCGTGCCAATAATCATGAAAATCAGTGAAATGTAGAAAATTATTGGCTCTGTCGGGTACCAATAGATATTGACTGATGTGGAATTTAGCGAACAAACATACTAATCTGTAACAAAATAACAAGATGTACGTAGAAAAACTGAGCTGCAGCCAGTTAAGGTTGGATGTTTCGTATGCATTCCTAGATCACAGGCCGCACCAGTGAAAGTGCAGCCCAATCCAAGGCACTCAAGCATACGTCTTTGTTAGTTAAGCAACTTACCTTTTCAGGACTGCTTGCATCGTAGACTCGCTTTTAAATAACAGTAGGGACGAGTAGAAGAGGCACTTCCTGCTTACGCTAATTGTGAGTTTTGTGCTGTGTAACAGCAGTACAAAACACATGTCTGTGTGTATGTGTTTCCGCAGCAACTTTTCCGCAACTTTCAACTCGACCACAAAAGCTAGGACGATGAAAATTTAGGGGAGCATCCCCTACCAAAATGTGACCCTACAAATTTAATTTCAGCCTCCTCGTGCCCGTGGGTAACACGTACGGTCCCGTAAAAGTTTTGGCGGGTAGAATTATTATCAGAGGAACCACGGAAGCTAGAAGACTGAAATTTTGTGGTATGGCCCCGCCCATGCGCAAGCAAGAAAATTTAAATTTAGCTTTCCCCTACCAGTGGATAACATGTACGACTCTGTGAAAATTTTGGCGGAAAAACTATTATCTCGTGAACTGCAAAAGCTAGAAAGGTGAATTGGCGTGGCCCCTGCCCTCGTGCAACTCCGCAAATTTTCAAAGTCGCCGTGGAAGTTCTGGCGAGAAAAATCATTATCTCAGGGATCTGAAGTGCCAG